TAAAGTGGAATTGCCAATATGTAGCTTCTTTTTCACACAATCGTATACTGGGGTAAATAGCATTTAGGTAAGAAATAAATAGGAAAAAAAAATAGGACTAAATGAAACCAGTTACTACCAACCTCTGCTTACAGATCTGTTTTAGATATCACCCCAAAGAATTAGATTTTCATACACTGAAGTATGATAAAACGCAGACAAGGAAAACAAAATGATGCTGTCCTCCAAAACTGGACCCTGAATCTCTTTTCAACTACATTTTGCACGTACAGGTGAAGACCTTGGCATCAGCCTTCAGGAGGAATCACTCTTAACTTAAGCCAAAGATATGTCAAAGCCAGAGCGTTACCACAGTCTCCAGGAGCAGAAGAGGCATGGAGCTATCCCAATGAGAATGGAAGCAGAATTGGAGACGAGCAGCAAGGCGGGACACGAAACCCCCCTGTAAGGACAGAAATAAAAGAGAGGGGAGAGTGGAGGAAGGTTGAGGGCTTGGGCGAGTCACAGCCTCGGAGTGGAGGAACGCGAAGGACTGGACAGGTCTTCAACGGGCTGGCGCCAAGGAGCTGCTCCGACAGGATAAACACGGCAGAAGAGGATTTGCGAAGAGATGCTGCTTGAGGACGATAACACTGAGCACACAAAAAGTCTCAGATAAATAATTACAGCCTGGGAAAATTCACCCTGTTTAGCCTGTTTTCTTCCTATTTTTTTTTCATCCATGCCTTATTTACGAACGCTGCTATTTATAATAACCTAAATAATGATGTCAAAATGTCCTTGTAGCTCAGTGTTTAGTCCCTTAACGTTGCTTGAATGAGAGGCAGCGTGTGAGTGGCACGGTAGCGCGCGCTCCCCGCTGCAAATAAATAGGCTCGAGCGTTCCCTTGACTTGTGTTTATATAATTAGCTCGAGACGTATATACATGGCAAATCATTAACTTCCTTCGTGTGGGGTTAATGTGCTTTCTTTCAGCGAGCATTTGAAAGCACGATGCGCACTATTTGTCGTGCTAATTGCGAAATAAATAACGCTTGTTATAAACTTTTAATAACACATTATCTCTTCATCTTCATTCAAAACAATCTCGTGTCAATTTTAAGCTTTTTCAATCTTTTTTATTTTACTAACCTTTTACTAAATTGTACTAAACTGCCTTTATATGTATTATTTTTTCATAAGTTCAATGGTTCTTTAGTGGTTCTTCAGCAAAGGCAGTGGTTCTGTGGATCCCTTTGAATGGTTATTGATGATGGGAAACCTGTTATATGTGGTTCTTCGAAGAACCCTTCAAAAGTGGTTCTATGTAGCACCAGAATAAGGTCTTTTCTATGACCTAGAACCTTTAGAACCTTATTTTGATACTATGCAGCCCTTTTTGCTGTAAGTGTATAAGCTACGATGTACCAGTTCTTGTAATTACTAATCAAAATCATTTATTTATTTGATTTTTCCTGCACAAATTCTCAATAAAAAGCGTTTACTTTTAGACAAAAAGCTTATTAATAAAGTTAATTCATATCATTATATGATTCTTCACAATATCATTCACATATCACATCTCTAGTCGATATGAATTACTTAACGAAGATCACGTACGTTAATACGTACGTACTCATTAATACATGTTCATAGTTACGTTAACTGCGTAAACCAGATCATATGATCACGTATAAGTAAACAATGAAGCAATGAAATCAGCTTTAAACAATGTAAACAACTCAGCTTTCTGTTGTTTTGTCTTCTTTTTCCCAGTCTAAAAAAAATGTATACAATATTTGACACAAATAAATAAAGACAGGAATAGTTCACCTGAAGTTTGCTGCCTGTTAAGGTCCAACACAGACATACACATACAGAAATACTCCATCTTACCAGAACTGCCCAGCTGTTTTCTTCACATCCAGGGATTTCCCTCTCATCTCATGCTCTCTCTCTTTCTTCATATCCCGAGAGATATTCCCATCCACACACCGCAGCTAAACACGACGGCCTCGGCTCGTCCCTCTCCATTCAGAGCCTCCAGCAGTCTGACAGCACCGAGACTTCACTGTCTGACGAGAAGAAGAAAGGCGGCGGCGACCCTGCGCCGCTCTCAGGGGACTCCTCTGAGTCATGGCTAATGTGTGTGGTGAGCAGTGGCTAGCTTTCAAGAAGTCCTGCAGAAGCACAAACAGCCCAATCAGCGTCACATTTAAGCACATTTCTGAAGAGTTTAAGCGGTTTCGGAAGAGTTGTAAGGAACATGAAGCCTGACACAAAACGCCAATTAGCATTAGCATAATCATAGCCAATAACTGCACTTAGCGTGATGAGGAAAAATGCCACAAAACTTGTTCAGATTCGTGTAAGCTGTGCTTATACAGCTATAGATTTTGACTACATGTAATTTTCATCATAATTAAATTTGTATTTTTTCATTGTTCAACAAAAAGTCAGTAGTCCCACATGACAGCTCAGTTCAAAAGACTGAATTTAACATGCTAAGCGATAATGAGGTGAATTTAGCCAAAATGTTTACTTAATTCTGAAACAAATCCTCTCATTTTTGGTGCTCCGGAAAAGCTTAAAGAACATATGACCAGAATGTAAAAGTTCAGATGCGGACATTAACAGGTTAACATTGTTTTCAACGCATATGGCTAAATGTTCCTCTTCATTGTTTACCCACATAGCATTTTCCCCCCATTTGAGCTAAGCTAAGCTAATTGTGTCATACAGCAATATTTCAAACGAGGATAAACGGGTCTGTCTGGGGTTTGATTGTAACCTGTGAGCTGGAGGGAGCAGAGAGCGGATGGGTGAAGGCTGTTTGAGCTGTTTGAGGACTGTGGTGCAGGGGGTGGGGTGAGGGTGGGGGTGAGTGGGGGGGTAAATATGAAGTGACAGGGGTAGGTTCTTATTGTAGGCCTCCAGCCGACTGGCGCCAAACCCCGAGTCCCACTTCATCACGCATGCGTGGGCGGAGCCTCTTAAAGGCACACGACTCTGCTTTTCCATTCACATCTCAGCACATCGGAACACAAGATGACGCGCTTGTAGCCTGACTTTAGCATGAGGGGGCTGTGTTTATCAAGTGGACTGAACTCTGTGTGTCGCCCAACACTTCACTAGCGCTTTGCTGATTAAACAAGTTCAGCATAAGAGTACAAATGACACAAATGACACAAATAAATAAATAAATAAATGAATAAATAAATAAATGGCCGATAAATACATTAGCACAAAGGCTATTTTTTTGTTTTTAAGAGAATTCTTAAATGGGAATTCCATTCCATCCAAGTTCTGCATAAGTATATGCCAAGGTGCAAACAGTCATTCATAGCAGTTTGAGGCGAAATGGTTTATTGTAGAGAAACTTAGAGTCAGAATTGTTCACAGTGGTAGTGATGGGAACCAGACGTCCGAAGAGTTCAATGCCTCTCAAAGCTCCTTCACAGAAAGCTTTCAAATGACGTTGTAAATGCCCTGCTTGATGTATGAGACACTGTTTTACAATAGTTTTGGCCTATATTTATTAAAATCACTTCATGGCGGAGGTGTACATGCAGGTTGTTGTGACGCAAATAATATATATATATATAAATATATATATATATATATATATATATATATATATATATATATATATTATAAAGGTGTGGTTAATATATATATAATATATATATATATAATATATATATATATATATATATTAACCACACCTTTACCATTATCAGTTATATATAACTGGTCATATAATACTGGTCATTTTGAGTAGTAAACAAAATGGATGTATTTGCATGCACCCCTGGTTCCTATCACCCCCACCCTAAAGAAATCTTAGTGGGAAAGTTTCTCTACAGTGAACTACTTCACACCAAAACGCACTAGATGATTTTGTTTACGTCTGAACGAGTGAATTACGTAGAAAATTTAAAAGCCTGGTGGAATTCCCCTTTAAAGTTATAAAAGATAAATGATGGTATTCTTCATATATCATTAAAAACAAACGCTTTTCTGGCACGTTTTTGTCATTTATAACTTGCCGTTCATAGGTTTATATTATTTTCAATATACCTATTTCTCCTGTTAGTCAATAGTAATAGATGTCTTGATACAGAACAGTGTTCAAGCTGAGTAAGGCTGCTTATGTTCTCCTCCATGTAGCGGGACATAATGTAACCTAACCAACTACCAAGCGATTAATAATTACCAAGACTTTTGAGGAGGATGGCCCATCCGTCAACCTCAACAATATGTTCTTCCATATTAAATAAGTCGTTGTTTTGTGTCTTGAAACTGCAGCGCTTTATTTAACTGAGCACTGTTTTTAGTGCAAAATTTAACTCTTTCCTGGTAAAAAATACTTTAAGCAAGATACTTTAAACACCGCTTTAAATAAAAATTTAACCTGTAAACAGACATTGTTTTGTTGTTTTGATAATAAATCATAAGATGTTACCAGCAAGTGAGGAACCACCACTCAAACTCCAAAGACCACAGTCTCTTTAGCGCTAAACACACACACACACACACACGCACGCACACACACACACACACACACACGCACACATGCACACACACACTGAGCGTCAGTAAAACACTAATACAGCCGCGAACTATCGAGTCCGTGAAGATCTGGAGCGCTGCAAGAGGCCGCCCGGAGAGCGGGAGTCCTCACAAGCTGCAGCCGGCTCGGGCGCTCTGTGCGGCGGCCGCGGACAGAGCGCTGCTCCGCTGTATGGAGGGGAGAGAGTGGGGGTGGGATTTCCACCTCCTTACTCTGTCATTGGTTAATATTTTATTCTGTTGACATGTTTTCTTACCTCAAACGCTTCCGACACCTTCTCGCTCTCTCCCGCCCCCCCCTCCCAACTCCCCTCACCTCCTCCTCCTCCTCCCTCTCCTTCCCCCCGATTTTGGTTGGAGCTGTGAAAACCACGCCCACGGCGCTCCGCAATTGGTCGAGAAAGCGTAAAATGGGCAATCAGCGCGGTTCGGCTCATTAGTGCGGGGGGAAAGCGGAGAGGAGGGGACAGTGTGTAGGCAAGAGCGCAAAGGACGAATCCACACACAACTGCCAGCGCCAAAGAGCTTCCGACTTCGCGCGGAGTCCACGCTGATTCCTTCGCTCTTGTCGCGGCTTCGTGTTGTTTTTTTATCCCTCCGCGTTACGGAGAGAGAGAGAGAGAGAGAGAGAGAGAGAGAGAGAGAGAAAAGGAAACTGTCGAAGAGCTGAAGTGCTGCTCTTCACTGACGGATGTTACTGCACCGCTTTACTGGAGCATCACGGTCCGGACTAACAGCCTACGAGCCACTTTTAACTCTTTTGCTCGCCTTCTGGAAACCTGAATGCTTTCATTCTTGGCACTGCTGACTAAAAAAAATCAAGTGATTTTTTCAGCTGATTATTAGGCTATTATTATTATTGTTATTAGTATTATCATCATCATTATTCTTCTTATTGTTTGTTTACCTGGACGAAGCTGCACCGGGTAGTCTAGTCTCCTTGTTCATTATTTTTTTTCCCTTTTTCATTTTTTATATTTGCCTTTTCTGGTTAACCGGGCACTCGCGCGACTCCAGCGCCCGTTTCCTCCCATTACAGATTTAAATTAATTTACTTTTTTTAAATTTTTTCATTTTTTTTTCTTTGTGGATGCCCCGATGAGAGACCCGCTGCTCGCGGGCACCGCCATGGCGTACCCTCCTCCGTTCCCCGCGCACCGGCCCGCAGACTTCCCCGTGTCCGCCTTCCTGGCCGCGGCGCAGCCCTCCTTCTTCCCCGCGCTCGCGCTGCCGCCGGCGCTCGCCAAGCCTCTGGCCGAGCCCGTGCTGTCCGGCGCCGCGGAGGCCGCCTTCCACCCCGGGCTGCACGGCCACCACCACCACCACCACCACGGCCACCACCAGCACCAGCAGCACCTCCGCTCCCTCAAGAGCCTCGAGCCCGAGGAGGACGTGGAGGACGACCCCAAAGTCAACCTGGAGGCCAAGGAGCTCTGGGACCAGTTCCACAAGCTGGGCACGGAGATGGTCATCACCAAGTCGGGCAGGTAGGTTTTCACTGTTTGTCCGCTCAGCGAGAAGAGAGAAGTTACAGTGAGGAATTCTTTAATAAGGCATAAACAAAGCAGCAGTTTGTTGAGTTGCGTATCCGTCGTGCTGTTTTATGGAGAAATGAAGCTTTTTAGGTACCACAGGTTATTTTGTGAAGCTTGAATGAGGCAGTTTGTTCCAAAAATGAACCGTTATAAGTGGAAATGGTTAAATTGCGTATAAGTTTGTTACAATTTCGCTTCAAATCCAGTGCAAGAAGAGGAGTGTCATTCCCAGAAAGCACAATATAATTCAGGGAAGCATGAATCACTCCTGTCTAACTCAAACGGCAATTATCATCATCATCAAGCCCATTCGAGGAAAATGATACAGAATTAACATCAATATTTCGCAACTTCCAAGTCTGTCTACTCCATTATGAAGGAAAATTACAATTATTACAGCAGCTCAGAGCCGCCGTGTCCGCTTCTATCGGCAAAAGCTTCGAACTGTGACCACAAAAATAACCGAAAGCTCAGTGTTATTTACATTTTCATATTTCGTATCTTAACAAATTATAACACCTTACGAACGTGTCAGCAACACTTTGTACTTTTTACTCTCTTTTTTCAAGTTATGGTCAAAATAATCTATTTACATTTTTACATTTTGTAAAATGTATTATTTTCTGTTAAGTCGAATTTTTAGTTTCTCAATAAGTGGCTGCAGATTATTTTATTCCGTTGGCCTAAAAACTGGACGTCCCCGTCCCGCAGGAGGATGTTCCCCCCTTACAAAGTGCGCGTGAACGGCCTGGACAAGAAGGCCAAGTACATCCTGCTGATGGACATCGTGGCCGCCGACGACTGCAGATACAAGTTCCACAACTCGCGCTGGATGGTGGCCGGCAAGGCTGACCCCGAGATGCCCAAGCGCATGTACATCCACCCGGACAGCCCGGCCACAGGGGAGCAGTGGATGGCCAAGCCCGTCACCTTCCACAAGCTCAAGCTGACCAACAACATCTCGGACAAGCATGGCTTTGTAAGTAGGGTTCATTGTAAATCTCAATAGCTGTTCAGTAGCTCCATTGCTGATTACAGACTCATGGCCTGACTTTGGTGGAGAAGACTAAAGCCATTTGGAAGTAAATGTGATGTTTGTTTTAGTGAAATTGTGGCTTAAGATGAAGCAAAAAACAACTTTTTATTTGCTTATTTAAAAACTTCAAAACTGCTGCAGAGGAACTTCCCAGTATATCCAGCATTTTCAGTGTAGAACCTGGTTTGTTAGGTGCTGTTCTTCTCTTTTTGGAGGGTTTTGGTCAAAAATAAAATGCTATAAAGTGAGAGGTGTCAGAAACAGTAGCGCAGTCCAAGAGTTGAACCAATTGAATAAAATTAGCCACAAAAATGCCTTATGAGCTAAATGAAGCTAAAATACAACACAATAAAAAGCAAGTTCTTTTCCTCTCTAAGAAGTGAAAGTTAACTCCCCCCACTTTACTACTTAGGTGAATGGATCTGAGTAAATGTACCTAGTTTGTAGTCCTGGTGTTTAGGTTCAGTCTTACATTTTTAAAAAGAGGCTGGGCCTAAATGTGGCTGTTGTAAAAGCTTTAGGCCGCACTTTTACACTTATTGTGATTGAAAAAAAGGCAGGAGTCGTCTTCACATTTTTGTTGCTTGGAAGAGCAGAATTTGTCTGCTTAAGCTACGTTGATGACTAGTGCCTAATGACTGAAGTTTAGGTTGTGTAATAATGTCAAAAACACATTTTCATTTACTAAGTGTCCTGATTGTTGGCCCACTATCTTCAAAGCAAACATCTTATCCATTGTGCTGGAAAGCATCTCACCCAGGCCTAAACTAATACACTGATACAGAACTGTGCTGTCATTTAAGGAGCAAAAATGCAGGTCCAGGCCTTGTAGGCCTTTGCCGTCTTTTTGGATCTCATTAGTGAGGCAGGAGAGGGAGCTTTCCTGATGGTGCATCCCCAAAGTGTTTGCAGAGACTGACCCTTAAGTGCAATTTAGCGAGGAAGGCTTGCAGAGTGATTGCTTTAAAAATAAATGCCACTTGGTTCCAGGAAAACCATGTACCACATGCCGACCCAGAGTTTTCCTCGTAGTGGTCATAGGTTACTTTTGACTAAATATGTCGTAGCCTAATTACTGACTTTTTGCCTAATTACTTACCTAATTACTATTTTCTACACTGGCTTGATCTGTAACGCCTCCCTAAATCATTAAAAGCTTAAACGATTAAAATAATAAAGAAATCCCATAATGTTAATGTGGCCTACTTGTAAATTAATGATGCCTTATTTACTAATCTAATGTTCTACAGCCAAAGGTTTGAAGAACCTGATTGCCTTAAAATGTTGAGTTAATTAAAGCTCAAATGGTAAATTAATACAGTTAATTAATGCATTCAGAATAGTTTTGCTAGCATTGTAAATAAGTGTATAACCAGACCTATATATGATCTACCTAGTGAATCCAATAATAATAATAATAATAATAATAACAATAATAATAATAATAGTAATTAATGTTTATCTGTCTTCCAGACCATCCTGAATTCGATGCACAAATACCAGCCCAGGTTTCATATCGTGAGAGCCAATGACATCCTGAAGCTCCCCTACAGCACCTTCAGGACATACGTGTTCCCAGAGACTGATTTCATAGCAGTTACTGCATATCAGAATGACAAGGTGAGTGACTGACCGGTGTGAGAAAATGTGCCCAGGGCTGTTATGGTCATGCTCATGCTTTTAATGCTTCGTCCGAGGAAATTGCAGTGCAATGTAGTTGCTTACAAGATATTTGAATGTGTTAGTGTTGTATTTGTATATCCGTATCTGGTGGAGTAAAGTAATTAACCGTAAATGTGATTTATTGTTTTATTTTTAAAAATGTTTTAGTTTGCCATACAGTTAATTTGCACAATGTAAAATATTATAATGTTATGTGAACAATGATAAGTTAAACTCACTTGGCAAAAGGAAAAGTGAACATGTTAATGTTTTGCATGACCCTGTCAGAGCTAGCTTAAAGCACCACATTTCAAGAATAAACCGAAGAAAATGTTTGAAGACGGGAGCACATACAGAGAAGGCCTGCAATGAAACGTACTATTGAGCACCATGCAGAGCCAATTTCCCCAATGCTGTACACACAGCATAATATTCTGTGAAGAATAACAAACCATTTTTACAGTCAAAGTAAATGGAAAACTGGCCTGATATTTACATTTTTCATTCTTTTTTCTTTTATAAGTTACTTATTTGTTAACTATCTTTATGACTGTGATCTTATATTACTATTACTAGATAATCACTTTTTTTTCATATCCATGTTGCAGCGCATAGCAGCTATTCATATTTATATTGTTACAGTAAGGCATACGAATAGAAATTGACAGATTGGCATGCAGACCCTCGGACCCTTTTCAAATAAAATGTCCATTCCAATTTCACAGATCACACAGCTGAAAATCGACAACAACCCCTTTGCCAAAGGATTCAGAGACACGGGGAACGGCAGAAGGGAAAAAAGGTATTGAAACATGAGCACGACCTGCTGAATTATTCTGTGCTTTGTGTGATGGGCACTGAGCTAACTTCACTGCTGGATCTTTAGGAAGCAGTTAACCCTTCCATCGCTGCGTCTCTACGACGAGCAGTGCAAAGCAGACCGGGACGGGGCAGAGTCAGACACTTCATCCTGCGAGCAAAACGCCGGGACCGAGTCCCTCCACTCTCCTCTAGGGGCAGTTACAAGCCCCCTCAAGTTCAACAGGACCAGCCGAGGTAGGACTGGTTTTGCTTTGAGCCTGTTAGGCCTGTGTTTGCTTACTTTCTCCATTTATATATATATATATATGAACTTATTTCTTTATTTTTTAAACCTTAAACTCTTAGGGCCTTTTTGTGGTCCCACAACTTACATATTAATTTCATAGTAATTCATGATTAATTCTTTGTAGTTACCGAATCATGTCTTAAGATGCATAATTTAATAACAAGCCTCAAGATTAAGGGTGCAACCTGTATTTTACCAATTATTGCGATGGCATAGGCCTTCATTTATTATCTGCCTGTGAAAGGATTGGGGGAATTGTGTATAGAGAACAAATAGATTGTAAACACTGATTTAGATTTAATGTTGAGCAAAAACTGCTAAGCACCATATAAAGAACTACTTGAAATGAAAAATGAAAGTTTTTTCATAGTAATTTTCTCTTTCTGCTGAGTCCGTTCAGTTCACCAATTTTGCTCACATAACATAATAATAATAAGTTTTGCATCGTCTTATCGGGCCGATATCAAAGACAACTGAATTTTTCTTACTTTTTTTCAAATAAAAAAGTTTGATGTAGTATGTCAACATTGTTAAATTATACAGTTAACATTGTTACAAGCGTATCATTCACTTTACAGTCTATATATGGAAACTAACTAACTTGAAATGAATTCAATGTTTTTATCATAACACAAAAACCAACAAATTTACATTTATCCCTCTCTTCTGCTTACAGCATTTTAGCTCCACCCATTCATGATTCAAGTTATAAGGAGTGTTTCAGGCTGGGCTGCTTTTTTAGAATGAGACACAATTCAGGGCAGCCAATTGGAACAGAGGTCATTTATATATATGTATCCGACTTGATGGCACGGCAACAAAAACAGCCTGTTTAATTCTAAGGGATAAAGAGAGGTCAGAATATGCTCATGTAAAAATGAATTATGGCTGGGTTTTGTACATAAACCCCTACCACAAGAAAAGACCACAATAAAATAAAATAAATTTCAGTATAAATGAAGGATGTGGGCACTTTAACTTCCTGTTCGGGTTTCTATGAACTACACATTTTAAGACAAACACGGTTCTGAGTTTTTAACAAATCATTTTTACAGTGTACTCAGGCCTACATTCTTTCCCAATTTATAGCCTGTGGACATTCAGGCCGGCTAATCTCAGACAAGAGCCACAGCGAACTGGGTGCACCTTTTTCTTTAGAATAATAGGTTACACAGAAAGCCATTGACATTTTGCCTTTCAAGCATTTTGGGCCCGTTTGTTTGAGGTAAACAATACTCCCCTGCCAATTGTGCCATGGACGAAAGCTGGCACGCAAGAAGGAAGTGGTTTGTGTGGAAACATGTCAGAACTAAATGATTTAGCCCTCAGAGGAAGAGCTTAAACAATTTCTGTAAAACTGCATGATCTCCAGTTGCATTTTTGCCTTAAAAGAAAGGAATATTTACGTTTTTTTATGTTCTTATTTTTTACAGATGAGAAAAATTGCACTGAGAGTGACCAAGAACTTGACCAGCAAGAGGAAAGGTCCGTGGGAGTGAGCAGCCCAGGTCCTCAGCCGATGTCTCCTTTCAGGGCGAGCAGTGAGGAAAGGGTCAAGGATAGGCCAAGCCTGGACAAGAAGGTAGACTGCCTGGACAGCAAGCAAGACAGCGAGCCTGCTTTCGCCGTTAGGAACCTGGAGAAAGACAAGTCGGACAGCAGGAACCACAAAGAACCAGAATCCTCCAAGAAGGATGCAGAGAGCGCAGGCCTAAGCAGGACCAAAGAGGGCTTTTCTCCACTGGTGGTCCAGACGGAGAGCCCATCGCACTTTAGCGCGAGTCATTTGCAAAGCCTGGCCTTGTCCGGTTTACACAGCCAGCACTTCTTTAACCCTCTGACCACGGGGCAACCACTGTTATTTCACCCGAGCCAATTTGCCATGACCCCTGGAGCTTTCTCCACCCTGGGCATGGGACACTTGTTGGCGTCCATGTCAGGGACCAGTGGACTGGAGAACGGAGGCCTGTCGCCTCAAGGCACGGGCACAGCCAGCTCTTTCCCATTCCACTTATCGCAGCACATGCTTGCATCTCAGGTAAAAGACTTTTTCTTTGAATTGTAGGCTTATTATACAGTTATTAAAGACTTAATTATTCAGTA